TTTGCATGTTGCAGGAGTGTGCATTTTACATAGAATACTGAAATGTGCCTTTTTTGTTACCATTTAGCCATGGAATGTATAAAATTTACAAGTTTATCTTTATTAAAAATATATACACAAATCACCTACAGCCTGAACACTATCACCCACCCTACAAGAAACCTGTTCTAAGTGACTTACAAAGGCTGCCTCCTAAAAATGCTACTTACCTTATTACAGGTACTTATATAGTGCCGTCAATTTATGCAGCGCTTTACATATATATTGTACATTCACATCAGTCCCTAACCCTCAAGGGGCATACTTACCTTAAAGCGGAGTTCCATCCAAAAGTGGAAGCTCTGTTTGTTTGCCCCCACCTCCTCCACTGCCTATTTGGCACCTTTTTTTTGGGGGGGTGGGTACCTGGTTTTGCCGCGGCAAACTGAGCCAGAAGTTTAGCCCCCTCCTTCCTCCCGCAGTCTCCTGGGAACCTTCACAGGTCCCAGAAGACTGCCAGACCAAGCAGAATCCACAGCATGACTCACACATGCAAGGTGGGCAGCCATTTGTGAAGCCACAAGCTGTCACAGCCTGGTGCCCACAGTTGAGATGCCAGCGCCATGGAGATGAGAGACGGGGCGGTGCAGGCGAGCACATCGCTGAACCCTGGAACAGGTAAATGTGTGTTTAATAAAAATCAGCAACTACAGTTTTTATAGCTGCTGACTTTTAATAAACACAAAAAATGGCTGGAACTCCGCTTTAAAGTTCCTAACATCACTAGTTTAAAGCAATTCTAAAGGTTCTTTTTTTTTGTAAAATAACAAACATGTCTATACTTACCTACTGTATGCAGTGGTTTTGCACAGAGCAGCCTGGAGCCTCTTCTTATCGGACCTCCGCAGGCTCTCCTATTGGGTGCCCTCACATCAAGCAGCTTGCTATGATGGCACCTGCTGCTCCATGTGTCCATTCACACAGGGATCCGCGGCTTGGCCCTGCCACCTTTCTCTCATTGGCTTACTGGCTGTGATTGACAGCAGCGGGAGCTAATGAGGAGACAGACCCAGGACAGCCGAGGCTGTCATTCACATCGTTGGATCGCGATGAGGCTCAGGTAAGAATTGAGGGAGCTGCTGCACACAGATGGTCTTTTACCTTCATGCATTGAAATGGGTGCAGAGGGGAGCCATCCCTGCCAGGAGAACAGTGATTATAGTTTGCTGGAAAAAAAGCCACTGGCAATAATCGCATGAAAAATCAGACAAGCTGGTACCCAAGTCAAACAACAATTGACCTGGCTACAATCAGCTTGCCCATAGATGGAAGTCTAAGGCTGTCTTTAGTGGTTATTCAGTTTACAGTCTTCTTTTAAGTCCCGAGGTCATTGTAACCAAATACCCTTGGAAGACACCACTTTGGATTGCATATATTGGGAACTGTAAAATTATGTGTGAAACTCAGAGGCCTGGGACCAAAAAGGTCTAAATATGAGTCATCCCCAAACCATATAAAGAATACCACCATCTGCAGCTAAGCATTTGTAGCAAAGAGATGATTCCCTCTTACCCTTATAAAGACTGACAAGGGCAAGACAAACTATGAAAATACGTACTTTAATACGTTTTTTTTTTCTGAATATAACCATGCTAAAATAGCAGATGGAACGATCATCCCAATCTTGGTCAGTCATCTCAGAAATGTCCCAGTTTCATTGGTCTCAAGTTCAGGGTAATTTAGGAGGCTTCCCTTGCAGAAGAGTAGTAGGAGAGACCTTTGATTGGCTTGAAAGAGCTTCATTTAATCCATACTGAGCCTCAGCCCCACACCTAAGCTGAAGATACTTTAAATGCCAAGCATTAGGTTCTGAGAGTTCCTGCTGCAATGTACCAAACAACTTAAAATAATCCCATGACATGATACTGATGATGCACATACTTCAACCCCACACTGGCCCACTTGAACCAGCCATAAAAATAATTGTTTTCGCTTACACCAGATAGGACTAAAGGTTCTGATGTTTATTTCCTGCACTGAACGCATTTTGACACTAGAGCAATTGTTTCATTTTTTGCACACACTTAAAAAAAAAAAAAAAAAATTAACATTTTCAGTCATACACTTCATTACTTGAAACATCCAGAACATTATGTACTTTCTAAAATGGAAAAGTCTTGTAGAATAAAGACAGTAGCTTTAATATATATTACACATTGTTTGCACAACTGTTTATCAAATACATAGTTAGGAAAAAATATAATAAAGTTACTTTTAGTGCACACAAAAACAATAAACACATTTTAGTAATCTATAAAAGATATAAAAGGTCATTTTCATAGCGCACTGATTACACTGTCAAAGTGATCATCGGCTGTACAGTCCCAACAACTGGGAGTTGCCTGCACAAAATGAGCACAAGCTGATATCTACTATTGCAGCCATTGGCTTGTGCTTTACACGTTGCTCTTAAATACCACTCACCGGCCACTTTATTAGGTACACCTGTTCAATTGCTTGGTAACACAAATTACTAATCAGCCAATCACATGGCAGCAATTCAATGCAGTTAGGCATGTAAGCACAGTGAAGACGACTTGCTGAGGTTCAAACCAAGCATCAGAATGGGGAAGAAAGGAGATTTCAGTGACTTTGAACATGGCATGGTTGTTGGTGCAGAGTTGCCAGACGGGCTGGTCTGAGTATTTCAAAAACGGATCTACTGGGATTTTCACACACAACCATCTATAGGGTTTACAGAGAATGGTCCGAAAAAGGGAAAATATTCAGTGAGCGGCAGTGGTGTGGATGAAAATGCCTTGCTGATGTCAGAGAAGCATCTGCAGACAGGTTGTTGCGATATTCAGATGGTAGGGTCAAAATTTGGCATAAAAACAAGAAAATATGGATCCATCCTGCCTTGTATCAAGGGTTCAGGCTGGTGGTATAATGCTGTGGGGGATATTTTTTTTGGCACCAGCAAGGTGTACCTAATAAAATAGCCAGTGAATGTATATACGTAGTACATCCAAACAGCTGAACGAGTAAACCTTAACTTGAACTGCACTTACCTGCAGATTCTCCTGCACACAGGATGGTTCCAGTGCAAGTTCCATCTTGTTATATAGCACTTTATTTGCCATCCATAAATACAGACAGTACATTGAATACAACACACCCATTGTATAAATAAATATATTTTAATTAACAGTTTTGGAAACAAGGGAAAAAAAACTGTGAAAACTAAAAAAGGTAAGCATGGTAGGGTGAAAAAGAAAACTGGAGCAAACCAATTTAACATTAAAGGTTTTTTTTTTTTTTTAAGTCAATAACAGTAGACACCATAAATAGACAAAGACATTTCAGATCCATACTGCCCAGCATTAACGGTAAGGCTATGAATACAAGCACAAACACAATTCAAGTGTATTCTATTTGCTTTTTAAGTTTTGTATCCGTTTTATTTTCAAATCACCAAGAGTTCTCTTTACAGTACAAACATCACCTTGTGAATACACAAAAGGGAAAAAAAAAAATCTGCTATACAGAAAATACAGAACAGATATATATATGCGAATATATATCAGTTATAGATATATTTATTCATTCTTAAAAAAACTACTATATCCTGTACATTGGCAATCATATGATCAAATACTTTTCATTTTAAATATGGTTAGTGCGAAAATACCATAACAAACATTTTCAGCACAAATAAAACAGAGAAATTGACTAACAGGAGTGTCAAATATATGCATGGTATGGTAAGAAACTACAGTGGGGTTTATCATGGGACAATGAATGAACATAACTGCTAAGAAATAGTTACTGTTTTCTTTAAGTTAAAAAAAAAATAAAAAAAAATTAGAAAAACTGAACATATGCAACTTATGACTTGCTTCAAACATGCTATTTTTGTTTAAAGTGAAACTAAACAATGAAATTTGGGTTAAAGTGTCTTCTAAGTGTGAATGCCAAAAATATGTCATAACATTTTCATATATTATATATCTATATACTTTTTCAATTCAAGTGTGTTATGGAATACTTTATTTAAAATTAAAATTATTTAAGACTGCCTACTAACCATACATTCAAGACAAGGAAGGCACTAGAAACATTTACAAATCTCTCTCCCTATTAGATCTTTTCTCGGACATGTAAAAATCTTTATATGATATCTTTATCAACATTAGTTTGAAAAATAAAGGTAGGAAATACTTAGAAAAAATCACTTTACAACAGAGTGTAATTTCTATTTTTGACACGGTTGCTAAAGATTCTTTTACAAAATCATATTTACTAAACCATTCTTTGTGTATCATTTTTAATGTAGAGCACTGGTGCAACAGATAGTCTGCAGAATACACAGCTGCAGTCCCACAGCACTGGAAAAATACTTTTAAGTATATATCTAAAAAAAAAAAAAATTTTAAATCAAACCAAATTTAGTTTCACTTGAAAATACTCAAATAAGGAGACAATTAAAATATAATTAAAAAAAAAAAAAAACGAACATAAGAAATATCGCCTTCAACCAGTGCCGGTATACCTCCCATTATGTGGGACTGCAGCAAACATTTGTTCAGGTACAACAAAGCCTTCATAGAGACACTGGTTAGAAAATGGCTTAGAGCCCAGTATTTAGGGTAAGTGGTATGAAATTGTTTTCCCAAGAAAATAATTGTTTATTCCCAGACATGACTGGAAAAGACAAATGTAGGTTATAAAATCTCAGTGTTCTATTCAGTTTCTTCATATACAAACAAGCATGGCTATGGATAATGTACTTCCCACATGTGCAGGAAACTGTACAGTGCATGATAAGTTAGATTCTTGGTATTCATGTACTTCCAACATGGGTCCTTTGGAGAAAAAATTATCACAGTGTTGACCAGGTAATTGAAAAAGGTCAAGGTAACGTAACATACAGAGGGGTGTTGGTGTTTGCGTTTATGGCAACATCTTAGGAGTTCTAAGCACTTCAGTGAGCTTCCAAGTCCACTGCTAGCATCTTTTCGTTATGCCACGTTGACCAGTCTACTGTACTTCACTTGCCTAGAAAAAAACAAAGGCCAAGGTATGGGCCAATGATAGGAACGGGGTACAACACCATGAACATTCCTCTCAAAGTACTGGAAAGGTCTGTACCACCACACCCTTGAAAGGAGGTTTGATGGAGAGCAGAAGCATCTTTCAGCACCTGCAAAAAATTACAAAGTACAATTATATATGGAATGCATAATTTTTTTTCTCAAATATTTATCAAAAATATAACTATTGCTACCCATATGATAGGTCACAACAGGCCTCAAGAACAACCTGTTCTGGAATTTGCTAAGGCACAGTACCTCAAACACTGAATTTAGAAATAAAAACCTTTTAGCATTGATAATATTGTATGTACCTGGATTAAAAAAAAAATGGCTCCAGCAGCATGTCCAGAGGGCATGAATTAAAGGAGAAATATAGCCAAAGCTTTTTTGGCTGTACTTCTCCTATGGATCACAGGAGTGCCAACAGTGGGCTTAACGTCACAGAGCCAGTCCAGGCTCTGAAAAGATCCCCAACCTTATAGGTGGGCTTCACCCAGATGCCTGGACAGGAAGCCAGCTGCTTCGACTCCCTCCATAGCCCAGTGCTCCACTGTGCTCTGGAGGGCTGGAGCAGAGATCCAATAAATGACCGTCACCAGCTCTCTGCAGGCTGAAGACTGAGAGCTGTATTATCAGTAGTGTTTGATTGCTCAGTTCTCAGTCTTAGAGGCAGTGGGGGTCAGCTGCAGCCATCTAGGTAAGTATAATTGTTTTTTTCTAATCGCATACTTTTTTCTGAATAGTTTGAGCCATTAGCGAACTCTCTGGACGTATTACAACCTCCAAAGAGCTGGAGTATTTAGGAGAATAGGGCTCTCCTCCAAGGCATGTCTGCTCTGAGTTTATCCATTGCTATAATAAATCTCCCAGGTTGGAAGCCAAGATGTTTATAGTTAGGGACCATACTCTGCAAAAGGTGAAATTGAACAGTAGCAGTAAGCCTTCACACGGATCTGCAATTTTGTGCAAGAAAAATTTCTGTTTTTAACCTAAATGTTGAAAGAGTTCAATTAGGTGTTTTTGTGATAACTAGTTGGAAGGCTCCAGTGCTGGGGAATGTTTATATTTTTTCAGCCACAGGAAAAGTATCCACCTTCATGGATATTATTACTGCTGTTACAAAATGGGTTTGCCCACTCAACTGAGTCATTCTACAAAACATAAATAATTTCTCAACCGGGTGAGTAGGTTTCCTCAAAATTGCCAAATGTGTAATATCATAGGAATTCCAATACAAGGATCTCAATCCTCACCTCTGCCCATGCTCACCTCCAGGATTTCCCCAGGCCTTCTCCCGTTCTCCGAATTTCCTCACCCAAATCTGTCTGTTTATCTTACTCTGCAACCTTTAACCCCTTCGTGCAGGCGCCTCCCGGCCCTTTAAGTGGTTTCTGATGGCGGGAGGCAGGGCGGGGTTTAGGGTCATGTGACTGCCGTGATTGGCTATCATGGCAGTCACATGATCAGAAAGGTGACCACGCTCTCAGCACGTTTGTTTAAAAATTTTACGCAAGTATGCGGCCGCTCGGCGTCAAGGCCTACCCGCCAAGAAGCCGCATATTTGCGTACGCACGGCTTGAAGGGGTTAAACAATATTTAAAAAGTCATTTCATCAGGGAACCCTATCCCATCTCCACCAAATGAATTGTACTTTTACTTAGGGACGCACCAAAACTTTGGCAGCCGAAAATACCCCTAACGGTCTTTGGCCGATATGAAAATAGGCACCGGTACAGGTACCGAAAATAGCCCTGCCCCCCCTGGTAGTTCTCAGGCTTACCCGAGAACCCTTTCCAATAATTCCGGCACCTGGGCATAGAGATCAAAGAAGGAAAGATGGCCTCCACTCATCTCTATGCCCTTGGAGGACCAAAGCAACGTCATTACTTGTGGTTACGGCGCCATGTAAACAAGGCCATTTGTTTAGGGGTTTTTTTTGTGCACTAGATCAATGCGCTTTTTTTTGTTTTTGATCTAATGCTTTACATTGTAGAGGAGATATTTGGGGTCTTGTTGACCCCAGATCTCACCATAAAGAGGACTTGTTACTGCTTATTTCTATCACAAGGGATGTTTGCATTCCTTTTGATAGGAATAAAAGCGATTTATTCGCGTGCAGTAGTGAACACATATGTAGGCCACGCCCACATATGTAAACGGTGTTCAAACCACACTTTATTTTTTAAACTCCTGAAAGGAGCATAATTTCCCCTCCATTCATTATATCCTTTAACTGTGCATTCTCTTTTTTTTTTATCCATTTACTGCTGCTAAGGGTTGACTATAGAGCTTTCCTATCCACTCTCCCATTTTGGTGCCAATTCCCAGAACCTCCAACGTATCTAACATGAGGCCCTAATCTACCCTGTCGAAAGCCTTCTCTCGACTGATAAATACTGTGTAGGGGGCTTTTCCCTCTTACTTTTTGGTATAACCCATGGTATAACCCATTATCTCTTTCCTCCCTCCCGGGGACAAATCCCACTTGGTCTAAATGAATCCACTCTGGCATTAGGTATTTCAACCTAGTAGCTAGGATCTTTGCAAATAATTTAGTATCTGTATTTAACAGTGAGATAGACCTATAACTGGCACATTGAGTCCCATTTTTTCCAGCTTTCTGTATAACTGTAATATATGCTTCCATTTACTCCTCCCTCATTTCCATCCCATCTTCTAATGCATTCATATATACATTCAATTTGGGGACTAATTGTTCTTTAAATGTTTTTATAATATCTCACTGTATACCCATTCGGCCCCGGGCTCTTCCCGGCGGCTGTCCCCTTCAGTGCCTTCTGGATTTCCTCCTGCGTTATCTATCGTTTTTTCTAGACATTTTAACTGTTCTTCCCCTAGTCTCAGTAGGTTTGCCTCTCTTAAATACATCTGTCTCTGTCTAGTACTCTTTTTCTCCCCTTTTAGCGGTTTGTGATTTACATCATATAGTTTGCTTTAATATTTTTAAATACCTTAGCAATATCAGTGGTCGACTAAACCAATTCTCAGTTATCCTTAATTTTCTCGATATAATTTCGAGATTTCTTCTTTCTCTGTGCTCTTATTAAGTATTTACCAGGTTTATTCCCCCACCGATATCTCTATTGCTATCATGCTGAATGTCCTCCTTGTTTCTTCTTCCACTAAACTACAGAATTCCTTTCTTATTTATTATTTTCTGCTGTATATCTATCGCTACTTTCTTTTTATGTGACTATTCAAGTCCATATAGTTCCCTTAAGAGCGTATTCATTTTCTTTTGCTGTTCCTTTTTTTTTTTTTTCTTACCCCGATCGCTATCAAAATTCCCCTGATATATGCCTTATGTGCTTCCCACACAGTGGCCATTGAAACTCCTTCAGTCTCATTCTTTTGAAATACTGTTCTATTTCTTTTTTTATTCTCAATTCCGTCTCATGATCCTGAAGGAGTGTCTCATTTAATTTCCACATGTTTATCTTTTTCCGCTCTCTCTCCCAAAATAACTTCATTATAACAGGTGCATGGTCCGATATTGTTGTAACTTCTATACTTTATCCACTGACTCCAACAGTCTATGTTCTATGAATATATAGTCTATCATTGAATATGACACGTGTCGGGGAATAGATCTCTGGGATGTTTAATTCTCCACGCATCTACAAGTTGACATGATATAGCATTCTTCGCAAAGCTTTCTGACATCTACTTCCTTCTCTCTGCACATGCAACGTTGTATCTGAGGCTCCATGCAGAAATTAAGATCCCCTGCTTCAATTTGCCCGTTTCGAAATCCAGGAGCCTTCCCAGTATATTCTTCAGATAAGCCACTGGAGTTCTATTGGAGCAATAGATATTTGCCAATGTACACTCTGTTTCCTGTAATCTCCACCTCAAGAACAAGAACAGACTATCAGGATCCTCCTGTCTATCCTCCACTTTAAATATTAAATTTGTAGCTATACCAATTGCCACTCCTTTAGCACATTTAGTTGCTGAATCAGCATAATACCAGGTTGGATAATATCTGGAGTATAACCTTACATTTGTTTCCTGTACTAAATGAGTCTCTTGTAAAAACGCTATTCCAATAGATCGTTGTTGTAATTCTCTAAGGATCTGATGCCTTTTTCCCTGGAATATTTAGTTCCTTAACAGAAGTCATAAAATTAACCTCGTCCATATATCGTGTGTGTGTGTGTGTGTGTGTGTATATACACACCAGGGGCGGACTGACAACTCATGGGGCCCCTGGGCAATAGGGGATCATGGGGCCCCTGTGTCCTTGCCCAAACTCAAAGCCTATTAAAAAAAAAAAGGTACCAGGGGCATTTCATGGGGCCCCTACTGACCCCGGGCCCTCGGGCAGTGCCCGAGTTTCCAAATGGTCAGTCCACCCCTGATACACACACATATATATACACACACATTTATTTTTTTTACCCTTCTTTACTCCTTTCCCTCCACCATCATTCTTCCCAACAAGAGTATCATCATCCGTTCAAATTAACATGAAGATATCTCCTATACAATTCTCCTTCCCTCCCCCTCCCGCCCCACATCCCACCTCTACTCCCCCTAAGCTCTTAACTTGTCTTTGAATCATTTGTGGTCCTAATCCTACTGTCGATTCCGAGCTGGGGTGAAGCTCTGACCACAAGCGCCCATCTAAACCACGTTCCCAACCCCTAGGCCGCATGTCTGGATGTATCTGGGACTTCCTGTTTCCCACCTCTCAAATTTTTACTTTTATTTTAGGAGGTGGAGAAGAGGGATGGAGAGGGAAACAACAAAAAAAAATTCCCTCCCGTTCCGGCTCTTCCTCCTGTTTTATCTATGGTGCATTTTCCTTTTGGGAGTTACCTGCCAACTCTCACTTTCTATTCTCCTATTCCCTTCTACCCCTTCTTCCCATCCTGGAATATCTACGTTCTATACTTCAAGTCGCTCACAAAAGTCTCTCAGATCTTCTGGGAATCTCAATCTTGCAGAGCGACCATCCTTCCACCCAATAACATGCTGAAAACCCCAACTGTATCGCACATTTTGTTTTTTTTTCCTCTTTTTTCAGTAATGGTTTTTAACAGTCTCCTCCTGGCTATAGTGTTTCTGATGATATATTAGCAAA